CACTATGACGTCATTATAACCTGTGACATTCAAAAAACGAGTCAAACTTTTTTGACAATGAAAGGTCTATTTCTTTGACGAATGAATATGTACATTCGTTATATTTGTAGATATATTTTCCGAGGGTACGTATCAATTATGCAAAACTCGTTGACTTTTGAAAAGTTTTTCCTCAAGGATTGGTGGTGGTTATGTGGTTCGGTGAATTTGTGGTTGTTGGGTGGTTAGGTGAATTTGTGGTGGTTATGTGATATGGTGAATTTGTGGTCATGTAGTTTAGTGGTTTATCGAATTGGGAATATAACTTCATCTGTTTTCAACTTTGAAATCTTTAGTTTTATTTATTCTGTTGTGGATGAAAACAACTCTTTGGAATATAAATTTTAGTGAGACTTTCGAGTAGCGTTGCTTTTAATCTGTTTTTATTTCTTTCAAGTTTGACCAACTTTGATTATTAATCTAAATTTATTTTATTACAGTTGAAAATATTATTTATTCTCTGAATAGATGAAATTAAATGAATAAATTTTAATTGGGATTTATTTTAAATGTGTTGCTGAAACTAACCAAAAACAGTAAAAGCGATTTGGTTCAACATTAATAATCAATAGCAACTTTATTTAGAATGTGATGTATAGTGATAAAAATGATAATGACGATGATGAGGATGAAGATGATGACGATGATGAGGAAGGAGATGATGATGATGACGATCATCATCATGATGACGATAAGTGTGGTGATGATAACGACGACGCCGATGATATTGAAAAGAAGAGAGATATGTTTATTTATATTAGTGCCATGGGTCATGTTGTGTGTTTTTAATGCTTCAATGCTGCAACATCCACAATGAAGCTTAATGGGATCTATTTCGTTTGCGTTGTTGGTTTTGTTGTTGTTGTTGCAGTTGGTGTGTTTGTTGTTGTCATTCATTGTTGTTGTCGTTGACATCAACAAAAACAATAACAATAATTCTAATTACATTGTCCTTGAAAATTTCATCAGATTGGTATTAAAAGATTAAAGAGTTTTTTTGCTTATTTTTTTCCTTTTTTTTTTTGTTCAATCGGTGAATTTTTTATTTCTTCTCTTTAATATTTTCAATGCTTGTCAAGTAACGAAGAAAACTTGAAAAATTTAACATTGATAACGTACATTTAACGTTCAAATTTTATAATACCAAAAAATGCAAACCTAACCAATCCAATTTCAGAAAAAATCAAAATAAATGTACGAACGAACGAACGTGATGCAAAGAGGAAGACAAAAAGACAAAAGGAGGAACTATAAAGAGACGTGAAGCAGACACGTGCGACGAAAATAGGAACGACCAGGCTGGCAAGTTCATTCGACAGATCATTACGGACGACCTTCAACTTTGACCTCTCCTCTCTTCTTCCATTTCTTTTTCTTCTGGTCTCGAACGTCGGCAAAAATGAACGAAGACATCTAGTTTATTGGCGTTACATGATTGTCTTTTTTTGGTTTGCTTTTTTTAGGATAGGATGATTGCTTAGAATGGTAAATGCTTTGTAAATGTGTGATTTAGTTTTAGTTGTTTATAAATTCTTTTTAATGATTATTTGTATTTTTAATGTCCGTATTATGAATGTTAAATATTTTTGCGAAAGTTTATAAATCAACTCGCGTAACAATGAAAACGTGGATGACAGCTGCAATGAAAGTGAATAGGCGTAAACATATATGCGAGGCATAAACATTAAACGCTAGCCTCAGAAAGTGAATGAGTGAGTGATAGTAAAAATTTGGTGTTTATTTTTATGAAGTGATTGAGTGAGTGATAATACAAGTTAGGTGCTACTGTCCGCGGGTCTGAAGTGGAGTTGAAGAGTGTGGGGAAGACGGCGATGATGAATACGATGATGACGAGCGATGGGTTTTCGAGGGAAACAAGATGAAAGATATGATGACGAGTTATGAAAGCTGTGATGACAAAGACCATGATTATCATAATGATAACAATGTCTATAACAAATTAGTTGATGTACGTTATGACGATCATGATTATCAAATAAATGATGATTATGGTGGTAATAAAAGTAGGAAAAGAATGAAAAGTGAACGCAGAGCAAGTTGTGTGTACGGAGATATCGACAAGCATTTGAACGCGGTCAGACTACTCACGCAGGCTGAAGTACAACTTTGCATAAGCAAACATGTAACACGTACTAACATTTTCTTATCTTTTAAACAAATTGACTCCGACAAACGTGAAATTTGTCAAAGTGTACAAAACAGAACACAGATGTGTAGTAAATGAAAGATAAACAATATGCAGAGTGCATTATTTTTTCAACATTATATATATATATATAAATATATATATATATATATATATATATATATATATATATATATAAACCCAGTAAGTTAATGAGCAAAAAAAATAGCGCAGAGAAGAAAGAGCAAACATGAAAGAATGCACAGACACGCAGTCGTCGTGTCGACAAACATAACCCGAAAATTGCGACCAAATACAAGAAACCGCACATACACACACGCACACGCCACATACGTACTGTACATACAAACATATACGTACGTACATATACATACGTACAGTACATACATAGGTTAAAGTACAAAGGCAACTAACGCATACAAACACGCACACAGATTCGGACATGCGCAGACTAACGTAACGTAATTTGCATTTAAGCACGCGCCTACAGCTCATTTGAATTTGCTCGAAAATATATATCAGTGAGTGACCGCGTGTAGATGATGAATGAATGAATGAATGAATGAATGAATGAATGAATGAATGAATGAATGAATGAATGAATGAATGAATGAATGAATGAATGAATGAATGAATGAATGAATGAATGAATGAATGAATGAATGAATGAATGAATGAATGAATGAATGAATGAATGAATGAATGAATGAATGAATGAATGAATGAATGAATGAATGAATGAATGAATGAATGAATGAATGAATGAATGAATGAATGAATGAATGAATGAATGAATGAATGAATGAATGAATGAATGAATGAATGAATGAATGAATGAATGAATGAATGAATGAATGAATGAATGAATGAATGAATGAATGAATGAATGAATGAATGAATGAATGAATGAATGAATGAATGAATGAATGAATGAATGAATGAGTGAATGAGTGAATGAGTGAATGAGTGAATAAACGAACAAATAAATGAATAGAAAAATGCGTAAAAAGTTGAAAAAACGAATACCCGGAGATTGTAAAACCGGAGATGGCTGACACTTAGAGAAATGTTAAAGGTTAATAAAAAGAGGTAGCAAGCAGCGGGACGAAGTGATAACAATGATTGAAGAGAGATTGTAGGGAGAACTGAAAAACTACAACAGAATATCGAAAAAATAAAATAAAAATCATCTTTGAGGGAAGCAATAAAAAAATAGAGCGAAAAAACAAAAAACGATAGGAAAATAAAACTACGAAAGATGAAAGGAAAGATTGAGGTGGAAAAAGCAGCGTTCATTTTGAGTCTCTGGAATAACTTGGTACGTTAGATGGACGCGTGCATGTGACATGACGCAAAATTAGCATAAGTCATACCCAAGTTCAAGCAATCCGTCATTGGCGCTTTTCTCATGTATAACCCCATTTGACTATATTAATATATATATTATATATATATATATATAATCACATCAATCAATCTAACCCTCCCTAACCCTCCCTAACCCTCCCTAACCCTCCCTAACCCTTCCTAACCCTCCCTAACTCTCCCTAACCCTCTCTAACCCTCCCTAACCCTCCCTAACCCTTCCTAACCCTCTCTAACCCTCCCTAACCCTAACCACCCTAACCCTAACCCTCCCTAAACCTAACCCTCCCTAACCCTAACCCCCAACGCAAACCCCAACCCCACGTGCCTAGAATCGCTTTACCAGTGGCTTGATTACATTTACCACGTGTCTGGATATCCTGACGTGACACTGGGTCGGTTTAACCCTAACCCTAACCCTTAACCCAACCACATTCCTTAACTGAAGGAAAGTGCCTAGATATTTTAAGGATAGACATGGTACGTGCCTGGATGTGCCTAGATATGCCTGGATTTTGTAGGGACGTACCGTTGGTCAGCGTTAGGGTTAACTAGGGTTAATTAGGGTTAACTAGGGTTGATAGGTATTGCCTGGATTAGGTTTACCACGTGCCTAGAATCGCTTTACCAGTGCCTGGATTACATTTACCACGTATATCACGCACTCACACACGCGCCACACACACACACACATAGATTTACACATACATACACACACGCACGCACATACACAAGGCACTCATAGCAACAATTAATAAACCTGTCTCTTAAGTATAAATAATGTCGTTGCATGATTCTTCTGCATTCCAGACAAATGGACTTTTAAGAGAAATATTGACACGTGTATGCGTGTGTGTGTGTGTGGCACGTGTGAGTGCTTGCGTCATAGACACAACATATACCGCGTTCTCTTTTCAACTTACGCTCACGTCTGTTTATTTACCGAACTTTACATTTCCTCAAAGCATCTAAAAGCATTTAAGATGGAAGGGATATCCTTCTCAAACTCACAAGTTCGTGCTTTATTTACAGAATTTTTTAAGAGGAAAAATCCAAACAACACTACGTCTTGATTCTGTTGAAAATAAATAAAAGTTTCAACTCAAACACGGCGACGACTGAAGAGAAAAACGACGCCACTACGAATAAAAAACAAATAAATGATTCACCATGGTCATCCATTGATATCAATCCATTGAAGAAATCATTAAAATTCCAGCTGAATAAAGCACGCAGGTATGGATTCCAAAATGGTTCTCGAGATTTAATCTGCACAGTAACATAACGTAGATGAACGTAGCAGAGAGGCTTATAAGTACAACACGAATTATCGAAAATTGCCAATTATTTTCATATCAAAATCGATCAGGAGTACTTATTAGCGGCTTCTAGCGAATTTTTAGGTATTTTTTTAAATGAAAAAAATTGTCTGAAAAATATTTATTTATCTTTAAAAAAATAAGCTAATGTAATTTGGTTTCAAAAAAATTGGACTGTCGATAAAAGATAAAGTTTGAAAGAGAATTCAAATTAAAACTAACGGTAATTATGATGGTGATGATGATGATGACAATAATGGTGATTGTAAAGATGATGACGAAGAAGATGATTACTAAGAAGTCGATGACAGAGACGATGATGATGAGAATGATGAAGATGGTGAAAATGATGACGATGACGAAATGGTGATGATAATAAATAGATAAATAATAAAATGTTAACACCATAAAAGTAATGACGATAATCACAAATTTTATAAAACATTTCATCGTTCCACTTAACATGCTTAAATAAACTATCACACATTCATTTATGCTGTCAATCAACGTTTATACATTCATTAATTCACTAATTCATCCATCCATTATCCCGTTATTCATATACTCTTTCAATCAATCACTGACATAAATCACTCACTCACTCATTCATTTATTCACCCACTCGCTCATTCACTCACTCCACTCACTCAGTAATCCAATCAACTCAATTCAAAACCAGCGCCAGACTCGATAGCGTAGAGCAGTTTCTGTTTCAGAGATCCCTTGTCCTTGAACTCTGGCAACTTGAGAAGGTTCATGCACGTGCTTGAGGTCGGCAGGCGGTCAAGGTCGGTGCCGGCGTGGTGGATGCAAAAGGGAGGGTAGAGTTCCTGAAGTTGTGTGAGGGTGGGTTAGTTGTAGTGACCATCTGCACCAACAACAACATCATCCTTACTATCTTCAACAATATGATCATCAACAGCATTATCAACATTGCCACTATCACCACAGCCAGAAATTTTATCATTTCATTCTATTAGTGGCATCACTATCAATACCATTCTATCATCACAAGACCACCACTACCACGACCTACACCACCACCACCTACACCACCACCACTCTCCTCTCCGACCTTGAACCCCATGAGCGGGGGTCTGGAGCAGCTGGTAACGAACTTGAGGAGCTGCTGCCTCTGACTGTCATCAAAATCCTCAACCACCTGCCAGAACATCTGTATCACCGGGTGGCCCACGGTGTAGCCACCTGGTGACGTCATTTTTATTTATAATTATTAGTTACTATAATACAATATAATTTATAAATATATATTATAAATATATATAATATATAAATATATATATATATATAAACTCATAATTTTGAGCAATAAATTGGCGTACGTCAAATATAGCCATGCTTAAACCGCGTAGCGAGTTGAAAAAGCACCTGGATGGTGCTAAAGCAAGGGAAGCTGATTGCAAGGATGGTTTCTTATACAGTGTGCGAGGTGAAGTGGGAAAGTATTCACCAGTCCTCCGAGTTCATTCAAATTTGAAGTAGACAGATCTATCATTTTGTTTTTTATTCTGAGCGCTTATGAAACAGTTTTGATTAGCGCTAACAAATTGCTCTTAGTTGTTTGACGTTGTGGTTCATTTATTAACTTTGTCAATTTAGACAGATAAAATAATGAATCTGTCGTCACAAATTTCATCACCTCAAAGTTTTTCTCATTAAAAATTCGAAATTCGAAATTTTCCAAAGCAAAACAAATCCTCCTCGGTTACAAAAAAAAAAGTCCATCACCTCCAGCTCCCAATGGGACCAACCTGAATAGTTACAATTCCTTCGCAGATCGTCGACATCGATCGGGACGTTGGCTCCCGAGATGAGGATCTGGAGTTCGTTGTGATCGAACATGCGTAACCAGGATATGTTCAGGACATCGGCCAGTCCCGCACGGAATGCTGAGCAGTGTTGCCGGATCTGCAGGTGGTTGATGTGGCGTGGTGTGGTGTGGTTGTTGTGGCGTGGTGTGCTAAAGTTTTTGGTGGGTGATGGTGTGTGGTGTACAGCCCTGTGTAGGCAAAATTTCTCTAACTACAACCGTTAAAATCTGAACAAACAAATGAATGAATGAATGAATGAATGAATGAATGAATGAATGAACTGTTTGTTAGACCTGTCTGTTTAGTTTGTAGTCCGCCATGAGGTACATATACTCGTATCTGTTGCTGTTGGTCACTTGGATGTTTCGACCGTTTGGTTTCAATTCGTCAACCTGATGTCAATCAATCAGACAATCAATCCTATAACCAACCAGTCAACAAATCGATCAACCAATTAATCAACCAACTAATCAATCAACCAGCCAGTCAATCAATGAACATATTTCCCAACCAACCAATTGATTAGCGAAACGACAAACCAACTAACCAATTGATAGGCGAAACAACCAACCAACCAATTACTCAACCAACCGCTCAACCAATCTAACCTTCAATTGACCGAGCACTTCATAGTTGACAGTGAAATCCAACTGCATATCCAACACGTCACCTTCGTAATCTTTTATGAACAGCAGGTTTCTGTGTAGCTCAGGATCCAACGAGGCAAGATAATGCATATCAAGCAAACCCTTGTGTCGACTCAGCAGTTTGGCAAGGAAGAAACTAGCGAATGGAACTTCAATCAACATGTTCTCGTATATGACCTGCATGTGTGTGTGTGTGTGTGTGTGTGTGCGTGTGCGCGTGTGTGTGCGTGCGTGTGTGTATATCAATGTTCAATGTGTATGCGCGCGCTTCTGAACGTGGTGTGTATAATTAAAAAAAATGGGATTCTGTACATGTAAAGGATGAATGTGTTTTCAGATTTGCATCTGAAAATTTCAAGTTTGCACTTGCTCGTTCGTGAATCCAAGTTTGTGAACGCTTGCATAAGAGAAAGCTGTACACTTTACAACTATTGCGATCGTCAATTTTCTACCATTAATCATTCAACCATCTATCCATCTTTCCATTCATTTTTCCATCCATCCATTTATCCATCCATCACCATTGCAATTATGATCAACAAGAAACAACAACACCGACTTTTCCAAGCACCCTGCCAAGGAAAAAGTAATGCTTCAAGTAGTCATCCTTCCATATGAGGTTGGACTGGAAGTTTGGGTAGAGAAGTTTATCAGGGGTCATCTTGAAGAAGCCGAGGTTGGGATCAAAGCCGGTCTTCACCAGTTCGGACATGAATTCGCGGAAGAGTCCGCCGCCATCCACACCCGCCTCGTCCAGGCCCGCCGCGTTTATCAACTTGATCTGAAGACGACCTTTCAAGTTCGGCTCTGTGTCCATTGATTGATTGATTGGTTGGTCGGACAAAAAAATCAATCAAGCAACTAATCATCCATCAAATTAACCAATCAAATAGTCAGCCAAATTATCAATCAACCAACCATCAAATCAATCGACCAACCATCCAACAAATCTATCAATCAATGAGTCAGTCAACCAATCAACCAACGAACCAACCATCTAACCAATCAACCAATCAACTAACGAAACAGCCAATCATCCAACTACAACCAACCATTTTCAGGGGACAACTTTTCAAAAGCATCTTCATAAATATAGTTCCTCCTGATGATGATCGTGTTTCCGTACAAGCCGGCATGGTCAGGTTGATTCTCCATCTTATCTCTCCTTACAAGGTCGTGGAAAATCTTAAGATGGTGATGATGATGTCGTTGATTGGTCGGTTGGTTGATTGATCGGTCGGTTGGTGTGTTGACTGATTTGATTGGTTGATTGATTGGCTGGCTGGTTGATTGATTGGTTGATTTAATAAACTGCCGTGAAATGATTGTTGGATTAATTTGTTGGCTAAGTAATTGGCTGGTGGTGTGTTGATTGAATGGTTGGTTGATTGAATGGTTGGTTGATTGGTTGGTTGGTTGGTTGGTTGATTGATTGATTGATTGATTGATTGATTGATTGATTGATTGATTGATTGATTGATTGATTGATTGATTGATTGATTGATTGATTGATTGATTGATTGATTGATTGATTGATTGATTGATTGATTGATTGATTGATTGATTGACCTTAACCCTGTCCTGAAAAGATATGACGAAAGGAAGTTCAGAGAGAATGATCAACTTGCGGACCTCGGATGTTGATAAGATGGGTTGGTCTACACTTACTAAGAGATAAAGAGATAATGATAATGGTGATGATGACGATGATGATAGTGATGATGACGACGACGATGATGATGTCGATGATGATGCCGATGATGATGCCGATGATGATGGCGATGTCAATTATGGTGATGACGATAATGTCGGCAAATAGGACTATGATTTCAAACAATAACTTAAAACCAATGATCAACAAACTAACAATAACTTGAAACACTAACAACCAATGAAAATGTAATTATTATTATTATCATCATCATCATCATTATTATTATACTTATAATTATTTAACAAAATGATCATAATTTATAGAAAAAAAGAATAACAAAGAGGTATGAAGATATAATCTAACAGCTCGCTTCGTCCGAGTTCAAGATACTCAGCGTGCCAAAAGCACAGCCCACAAACACACTGGCTGTTGAACTTAACGGCTGTATAAACTGTCCACGCGTGAGAAATTCATTCATTCATTCGTTCATTCATTCGTTCGTTCGTTCGTTCGTTCATTCATTCATTCATTCATTCGTTCGTTCATTCATTCATTCATTCGTTCGTTCGTTCGTTCATTCATTCATTCATTCGTTCATTCATTCATTCATTTATTCATTCATTCCTTCGTTCATTCAATCGTTCATTCAATCATTCATTCATTCATTCATACATACGTACATAGATTCATTCATTCATTCGACCAAATAAACAGCCAACCAATCAATAAATTAACCAATCAATCAATTAACCAATCAATCAATCAATCAATCAAAAAAAGTTCAATCAGTTAACCTTCTCAGAGTGGTAGAGATTACTTGAGGCCAGCCAGGAGCCAGCAGGACAGTAACTTTCTCTGCAATCTCTCTCGTACAACTGCTTCAATAGCTTCACTGCATCCTTACCATCATGATAATAATTATATCATCATTTTGTATCTATTATTATTATTATTATTATTACCACTATTATTATTAT